CTCTCTTACTTAGATTTGAATATAATTTCTTTTTTGAAAACCTACATATTATTATTAAATTATAGTATTACTGTAGTTGAGCATTGGTCCACTTTACAAACTCACATGATTTGACTGATCAAATATGTCGAAAGAAATGTCTGACAAACAAAATTTGATAACATCAATGTCTGTCTCTTATACACATCTAGATGTGTATAAGAGACAGATTAAAATACTGATTTGCATATTAAAGAATGGCACTTGATTTAAAAACATTACATGAAAGATTATTAATTACATAACCTAGATATGAATTTGCATATGAGGGTAGTAATCATGTGACAAAAGAAGCATGTGATGATGAATCTGACAACACATGCCACTAATGAAAACAGGCAATTTTGTGGCAGTCATTATGCAAATTAGATACATGAATAATTAATGAACCCAAACATGAATAATTCATGTTTCTAATAGAGTTTAACAAGATAATAAAAGCACAATAGGAATAAATTTACATACATCTTGGAACCTTGGCATTTTTAATTGTTTCTCTTGTCTATCTTTATTATTTGGTTAACTGCATTTCAAAACATTTTTTTTTTTGGTTGATTTATTTTAATATTTTTATAATCCAGCCAGTGGGAGAGAGTATTTCTATTTCTATGGGTACTTGAGTCTGAGCACCATCTCAACAAGGCTTGAAAAAAAGTTTGTTTTTTTCCAAATACTGTAGCCTTTATTTTATGATATTTGCCATTCCAAAGCCAGCGTACTATCACTATTAGCATAAAGAGAAGCCATTATACTTTTACTAATTTTGGCAACAGTAAGTAGACTCCAGCCAAATCACCCATCATTGTAAAGCTTACAATGTGAAGAAAAAGAATTTGCTAAAAAGTTATTCTTATTTTTTGGTCACTGGATGCTGCATGGTTTTAGGATAGCAAGCCTCATATTAATTTTCTTACCTTTTAATTAGAAATTTAAAAGAGAAACAAGAGAAAACATTTTTCTTAACAGACACTAAAAATACAAATGTTCACCTTTGCATAGATATTTACATTTTCTAATAATCAACTTAAGACTACTTGTTGTCTGTAAATAATTGAAATTTTTCAACCTGTTTTATTGAAAGGACATAACTTATTTGATATTTTTGAACTATGCAATGTTCTAATTGAATTTTTGAAGGTTTACAAAATTTTACCATAGATGGTAACATTTATTTAGCTCAGGAAACTGATTTGATGGCAATTTTTAACCATTAGCTCAAATTCATTTATTCAAATGAGCGTGTGGAATTCAAGAATCAGTTTTATTTTTAAATACAGTATCATCATAGTAGCTTTGCAGAATTTAAACTTGCGAACTTATTCTAAAATATTTCAACTTTGGAATGCTTTCATCAAGAAACTAGAAACACTCCTCATCACATGAAAAGTAATAAATGTACAGTTAAAAATAAAATTGTGAAATTTAGGAAATGAATGCTATGATGTGAGGCAGGAATGTGTAAACTTGTAGCAGTATCTTGTATTTATTTTTGGACTTTAAATTTATACTACACATAAATAATCCACTTCAGTGGTGGATCCACAAATTCAAAAAAGAGGGGGCCCAAGGAGGGACTTTGACAAATGGGTGGGGTTGAGGTAAGACAATTTATGATTATGGCACCTTTAGGTGGCTGGAAATGGCACTCTCTTACTTAGATTTGAATATAATTTCTTTTTTGAAAACCTACATATTATTATTAAATTATAGTATTACTGTAGTTGAGCATTGGTCCACTTTACAAACTCACATGATTTGACTGATCAAATATGTCGAAAGAAATGTCTGACAAACAAAATTTGATAACATCAATGTACTGACTATTTATTAACTGTTTATTGCTTCCTTATTTTTTATCCGATTGTTTTTTTGGTTTTTTTTTTTTTGTGATTTTGCCTTTTGGTTATTTTTATCAATGTGTTGTTTGTTGATGTAAAAATTTTGTATTTTTGTTTAGAGGTAAGTAAAGAGGAAAGAGTGCAAATTTGTTTTGTTCTATTTGCTGGTAAATTGTATTTTTTCTTGAATGCCAAATAAATATTATCATTAACATGCAAATTTTAATAATTGATATAACTTTTTTTTCGCAACATTCATAAATATATTTCCTGTAATCTTTCATTAAGAAATCCTCTGGCAAAAAATGATAATATATGTCGCAAATCAGACAAGACAATTTCAATTAGGGACTAAACATGTATAGATCAAATCTAAGTAATTTTAATAGTAACTGATTTCTGATTAATGTTACTCATTTTTATATGTACAGTATGACATTTTTTTCCCCAAAAATGTGCACAATGTTTAATTTTATGTACTCTTCACTTGTAACTTCTTTGATGAAGTCTTACCTTCACTGTAAGAATAATGATCCTTCCATCGGAAATCATGTTTAGAAACAGGACCATGGATGCGTCGGCGTGCGCTGTGTATGTGTCAAACACTCGGCTAGCCATCACACTACCGGTGGCTTGGTTCAAAACCAGAATGTGAATGCCCCGCCCCTTGTCTTTCTCACCATTTTCAAGGACCTATGAAGGGAAAAAAAAATATTATAAATTACTGTATACTACTGTATGTTAGATTCTTCTAAGTTATATTTGTAGTAATACAATTTAGCTGAGAATTATATTTTCTCATCTGTTGGGTTTTCTAGCACCCTGGACCACTGTCCTGTTGTTTCTTTACCAAGTATAAGGTATCCACCAGAAGAGTTATACAGCATTTAGTGGTTAAAGCTTGGTTTCCATTACAATCGCTACACATTATCACCGGCAGCTTCCGATGATGCTGATTGTCAGTCGAATCGGGAAGCCTTTCCGATTACGTCAGGGAAGTGCTGCGCAGTGTAAAGATTGCAATGGAATCACTGTAGTGACAGTGTAGCGATTTTATGGAAACCAAGCTTTAAGAAGCTTGCCTTCTGACATAAAGTAACCAATTTTAATATAATATTATCACAATTCTGAGCTTATAAGATATTTAATATTCATAAAAACAAAACTTGCAATATTAAAAACTAGCATTTTATTATATTTTCATTTCATTCTGATTATGAATTGCATGACATTTAGAGAACCAGTAAATAACATTAATAACCACAAAGAAATGATATGTAGAGCATCTTATGTAAGGGGTTGCCACTTCAATAATGATTAAGTTCACTATTAGCAATCTTTTGACCAATATGCCAAAATAAGGAATGAATAAATAAATAAGTTCAAACCACACAGTATCCTTCTTCATTATACAAATTACTGAATTTATATTTATTGGTTGGCCGTTGGTAGAGCTCCATATGGGTTCTTTTTCAACCAGCAAGTAATAAATATATAATTAATTATAAATATTGTTGATATTTTTCTTGTAATTTCAACATACTGTGTTTCTGTGCACTTTGCCATTTAATAAAATTTAATAAGGTTTTTTAATTATATAATTATTACTCTTTGAACTAAAATGCTTTTAGCACTTTGTCTTAACAATACAAAATTAAAAAATCATAATAAGAGTTACTTGATTAAATAGTGATTTAAATATTGATTATTAAACAACTATTACAATTCTTTTGATAGCACAGTGCACATTTCAACCGTTTTTAGTTCAAATTATCTCGGGCTTGCATAGTGTACAAAAACTCATAATCTTATGGCTATACCAAAGTGGGGCATCTTACATGAAAGTTAATACATGTTAAGTTCGCTCATTCACAGTACAGTATGTACCAGTAGTACATGACACAATATTATCGTCTTTTTTGGTATTTTTTAAAACCATATTTATGGAGGGTGACGTATCCTAGAAGGTCTAAAATAAATTATAAGTTATTCCTTGTATTATTTGCATAGATTTTTAATTAAATCATCTGCAAAGAATTCTTACAGCAAAATGCCAGTTAATCGGTATGAAATGTATTTGTTCAACCTGTATGTCAGAGGGAGTTGATATTCATAGAAGTCGATTAATTTAAATAACATATTCAGTGTTTTAATTGATTTTTTTAGGACTCTTCCATATGTTTATGACAGATGGTACATCTAGAGCAGGAATTGGTAAAATTAATTTTGATTTATAAAGCAGAAGAGATTCTATAGTTGGCTCGCAAATGTCAAAATCACCATTTTATGTCTGGAACGAAAAAAAAAATTAAACATGATTTGCAGTTTTGATGACTGCTATTCTAATTCGTTTAAGATCTTACGAAACTCTTCAATTAAAATTTGACTATTAATATCAATATGGAAGAAGCCTATAGCTTGTGTACAGAGAAATGCCAAATGTGGTTCCCATCAAAATAGTGTCAGATGAATAGTAAAGGTCTCCCTCTAATTAAAGACCTATCCAATCAAAGACAACCTCCAATTAAAAGACCACTTTCCTGTGTTCCCAAATAAGCTGGTGTTTGTTTTTTCATTAATATTATTCTAATTAGAGACCAAAGCTGATAGAGACCTTGAAAGCCTCCGGTCCCATAATTGGTCTTTAATTGGGGAAAGACTAGTTAGGAAAATAGAGAAAAAAATTCTAAAAAAGCAACTGAATGTAAGGGTAGGATAATAACTCATAACTAGCAGAATCATTGTGCTGAAATGCGTAACGGTATGGGTGTGGTCCGTGACTACCTAGCCGCCAGTAAGAGGCGCTTTCTAGTAGTTATGTGTCCATATCATTTCACAACAGGGGCTAAAATAAACCATAGCATAGGGGTAGCTCTGTACTCTTCCGAAACTTTTGAAATGGGTCTTTAATGTACACATGAGCTGTGTACACCGGAACAGTTTAAGTCCTTATCTGAGAAGAAGTGGTTCCATAATCCGAAACCGGGAACGGTGCCCCTGCCTTATGGCTTGGCCATGTGACTTGAACTGTCCTTTACAATATGTGATATTATATTAGAATTATATGACATTTGTACAAACATGGCCAAGAACTGCTGGAAAGGCATCTACAGTATGTTTTACACTAATGAAATTTCAGGACAATGCAAATTTGTTTTCATCTTAAAGATTTGGATAGGCAAATGAAAGACAGTATACTAAGAAAAACAAATACTTGTAAGTAACTCTAGTTTACATTACTGTAATATAAAGATTAAGTAAATTTGTTTTCATTCTAACCATTTGCATATAGTAAGGAAATGAAGAAGGAATACAAGAAAGCTAACTCTTCTATATTGTATACAATATAAGGCCACATACAGAGAGCAACACAGTTTCAATTCCAGAAGTTTTTTGGGAATTCATAAATAAGGGCTGTGAGCATACCGTACTCGCGCGAATAAGCGCCCGGGCGCTTAAAATATTTTTTTTGCACTTTTTGAGGGGTGCTTATTCAAACGAGGCGCTTATTCGAATGGGGCGCTTATCAAAACAGAGTGGAAATTGAGGGGGCGCTTATTAAAATAATTGAAAATCGAGGGGTCATTATGAGAACTTATTAAATTCAAGAAGCACATTTTGAATGAAAAATGATTAGGCCTATATAAGGACATTAGGAAACCGCAAATTACGAATGGTTGTGCGGGGGCAAAAAAAGATAATCGTCTAGATAGCATGGCTTTTCATGACAAGAATGTTGTGAGTACATTATTACATAACAGCAGAATAGCAGATTAAATTAGTGGTGGTGGTTAGAGCTTGTTGGCTATCGGCCGATTGAGATTAGCAGGATTGCATGATCAATGCAGGTTTTCTTGAAAACTCAGATGAGAATGTGTGGTGCAAATTGTCGGAAAAGCATGTAGGAATAGGCTATAGAAAAATATAAGAAGATGAAAGTTGGAAATATACTGTCTGTCCAGGGAGCTCTCATCTATCCAAGATAAATATCCTCACTTTGATATTGACTAAAGGAGAATGTGATTCCACTCCACACCTCAAATCATGCCAACATCCACAGTCCAGAATTGATTGAATTATTGAGGGGGCGTTTATTCAAATTAGAAGGGGGAGTTTATTCAAATTAGAAGGGGGCACTTATTCAAACGGGGCGCTTAAGGAAATTTTCACGTTAGGAGGGGCGATTATTCGAAAGGGGCGCTTATTCAAACGGGGCGCTTATTCACGCGAGTACGGTACTCATTATTTGAGGCAGACTGTGTGCTATATAAATATTCATATTATTATTATTAGTATGATACAAATTTATAATAATTTTCTTGTACCTCTATGTTTCTGACACTGCACAATATGGTATGAAGAAAAAAATACAGCTTTTTTTCTTTCACTATCATAAATATATTTTAACATGAAAATATAATAACAAGATACCTCTCCAATCTTCAATATTGGCAATAATCAATACAAGATTAAAAAACAAGACTCTGTAGACCTAGGCCAGCTTCCATACTAGCTTTTTGTTAGACTATGTAAACTAAAAACTAAAGCCTTTCCGAGCCACTGGGGCTCATTGGGCTGGAGCTTATCTCCAGTTTCTGTAGTGTGAAGCGGATGAGAGTTGTACTCCCCCTGGACAGGACACTAGTCCATCACATGTTAATCCCCAGCAGTTTGCTGGTAACCATTGATACAGCTGGGTGGACTGAAGCAATGTAGCTAAAGTGCCTTGCCCAAGGACACAAGCGAATCTGCACAGGGGAGACTCGAAACCCCGACCTTATGAATGAAAGCCCAAACCTGAACCGCTGCGCCAAACTGCTGCTACAAACTATGTAATAAATAATAATAATAATAATAATAATAATAATAATAACAATAATAATAATAACAATAATAATAATAATAATATAATAAATTTAAAAAAAAATAATAATAATAAATTAACAACAATAATAAACAACAACAACAACAACAACAACAACAACAACAACAACAACAACAACAACAACAATAATATTTTAACTGAAAATTAAGTGCAAAAAGAATTTTGAATCAAATTGAATCAAGTAAAATAACCTGCATTTGTTTGGCAGTAGGCCTAGTTTGTTGTTTTGCTTGTATCTGTTGAAGTGGTGTTCTGTTCTCTCCTTATATTGATTTGATTGAATTTTGTATTTTAAAAATTTGCCAAATGTTTCCTTGATTTATATTTCAAGTATTCTGGTGTAGGCCTATGTAATGAAATTTTCTGTTTAAATGAAATTGTTTTGTTGTTTTTAAAGTTATTGTAGGCCTACTACTTTACTTCTCACTTCCAGAAATTTTCTAAATAAATTGAAATAAAAATTAAATTTTGAAATTTGAGCAATAAACCATAATTTTCTCCCCAGATCCTTAGAGTAAATATCAGTAAGTCCTACTGCATGTGTTAATGTACTTCAATAAACCAAACTTGTCAATTTTTAATCTCAATCATGGGGATTTCTTTTTCTTCCTTTTTTGTGTAATTTCATAGAATTCTAATTCATACCATAATACTTAAAGAAAGAAGAACATTTCGGTCATTAACATTGCATCATGAAACAATATTGAGAACATATAAAACTATTGTAGTTTTAATCACATACTGCTAAATTCATATTATAAATGAATTGTGTTTGCTTTGCAATTATTGCTATAAAATAGTTGTAATT